AGTGGTGTATGGCATCGTGCCTTAAGCCAAATGGCTGGAACTTCTCGTACCGTAATGAAAAATTCGAGAAATATTAAATGTTTTCAATTAGATTATTATAAATACTGTAACTTGTTTGTTTACAGAAAAGTAATAAACAAAACTTAAACATCGAATTTAAAATGAAGGGCTTTGTATAATATTTATAAGAATTATATAAAGTGAAGTGCAATGTTAAAACTATTTATTTAAAGTATTTAATTGAGCTTTAGAACTATAGCTAGAAAAAAATCAAATCCGAATTAATTTCGATATTAAAAAAAAAAATTTTAAATTAAAAAAATGTTTTTTTTCCTAAAATCAATAATTTCGTCAACACAAGCAGAAAGTTTTTTGAATCATTCAAATCGGATGCTCTCTCAAAAACTGCCATTTTTTGCACATTTAGCTCCGTATCTTCGAAACGGTTGGACCTGCCTTTGCCAAAAACTAACCATCACTTCCCCCATCATTACAAACTGAATGTTTTTTAGATCATTCAAATCGGATGCTCCGTTCTTTCATAATCTCGATTTCTATTTTCTGCACTCTTTGCTGCGTATCTTTGCTGCCTTTGCCAAAAACTAATCAGCACGTCTCCCTATCAATAGGAATCGAATGCTTTTTGAACGAAAGAGTGCGGACATACAAAACACACACACATCCATTTTTTCTGAGGTATGCCAGAAACCTTCATAACTACTGCTGAACTAAATGTGATCAAAATCTATCTTAATATTTAGTATGGAAAATAATCTCATTTTAACTAATATTTAACATTTCTTTAGCATATATATAAAATTTATTTCTTTCATAATTAAGAAAATCATTCAAATTTATGTTGCTCTATCTATTGGCAGCATTTCTTACTACTCACTTCGAATATGACATATACAACATAAAACATTAATATCTTGTTTGTATCGGTCTCTACGTTTATTTGTTGCCAATTTGTTTCATTAATGCATGTCGGCGAAACAAATGTTTGTGCAAATTTTTGTTTGTTTAATGAATATTTTATAAAGTGATCTTAAATTAGTTAAATTTATTTTTTTAATTAATTTTTTGTTTCACTTTAAAAGTTTAAATTATACTGCATCTTAACGTAAGTATTTTGTGTTTCAATTATAACCCCAAAAATATATAAAACAAAGTTTGTTTTATATATATTTATATATATATATATATATATATATATATATATATAATATATAATATAATATAATATAAAAAATTATAACATAACAGATAAAATGTTAAAATATGTATTAATGAATATTAAAATGAAATTAGGCAAGCACAACTAAATCTTGAAAATCGTTAGGAAAATATGAATATACACAAAAAACAAATATAAAGTCGAGATGAGTCATATCAAGAAGTAAAATGCAGGCTAGATAATTGAAATTTTCTAATGATTTAATTTAGTTTTTTTAATAAAACAGATATTTATAGAATTGCTTTTCATCATGTGCTAAAATAATTAGACTGTAAATTTCTTTCAATCTTTCCAATAACAATAAATTGTATTTACATATCAAAGTCTTATGTAGATCTTTACAAAAGAATTTAAGTTAATATATTAATTACAGCATGAGTGACAATCTAGGTGACTTGGAATATATACTGCCTCGGATTACTACTGATGATTTACGGGAATTGAACTTGTAAGTAATACATCAAAACTTTAACATATGTAAAGATTTTAAATATACAGTAGAAACTTGATTATCTGGACCTCAGTTATACGGATTCGCGATTATCCAGACTCCCAACCACAACCAATTTATATGTATGTACCTGCAATTCGAATTTTTGCATGAATAATGCTACAGTTTGTATGTATGTAATGCAATCTATGAAAATATATATGTACATACATAGGGAAATGTTAATTTCTTATTAAACGTTTTGTTGATATCTGTGCATGTAATTGTTATTTTTGATAAATGTACATCATTATTCTTCATACATTGGATTATCCGGATGCCTATTGACAACAATTAGTCCGGTTAATCGAGGTTCTACTGTATTTGAATTTGCTAAATAAATGATACAGTCAACTGTTTAGCCATAGATATTTGAAAAGTACTCATTTGCTATCTAGTACTTTAACTCCCCATATTAATAAGTAAATAGAATTTCTGTTTTTTTTAATAATTTGTGTGTTTTATCAATTGAGCAAAGGTCAAACTCGAAACATGTTCAAGTCTGTTTTTTTTTTTAAATATCTTGATTTAATATCTGGATTATTGTTTATTAAATGAAACATCTTCTGACTTTAAATTAATGTATGAATATACTGAAAGTATGTAATATGTTCATTTTATTTCAATTACATAATTTTGAACATATGTACTTATAATTAGCATAAATCATGTTTTCATAAAGAATATGATTTTTTAATATGTGATGCAAGAACACTCTGTTATTGCTAGAGAAAATTTTGGCTTGCGGTTTATTTTTTTTATTGACTAATCTTCCTTGTGCAAACAAGGTTTGAGATTTTTAAAAAAATATATATAAAATTTATTTCTGTTTTATATATTTTTTTATCTTATCCATATTTATATTTTGTGCATGACTTGTTAGAAATTTTATTCTGAAAATGATTTTTATTTGCAACAAATAGAAGTCAGCTAATTTTATAAATGATTGAGAATTCAAGAAAAATGAAATAGTTTACTATAAATTTTTAATTATAGAGAAATTAATTATATTCTTTTTATTCTCAGGGATTTAAATTCATGGTCTGATAGCAATGTAAGTATTAGAGTTCTTTCTTATTTTATTGTAATTTTGATATAATCACTATTGTTAAAATTTAATTGCAATAAATATAGAATTAAAATATGCCTATTAAGTGTATATTTTTTTAAAAACAAATTAGACATTTTTCAAATCATTAGTGATTTTTTGTATAAGATATAAAACAAACATTTATTAGCAGACTGAACTTCCATTTCTGGCCATACCACCTGATTCAGATCCAGCACAGCGGGATATTAAAACTGAGCCGTCTAGTCATTCCTCTGCAGAATATGATGGTTTTTCTACCATGGTAATTATTTTCATTATTTTTCTTATAGTCTTATTTAATTTACGATACATATCAAATTAAGTAATTTTGGTATAGCAGATTGTTCTGGATACTTGTAATTGCATTTTGTTTATAAATGTTTTTCTGAATTTAATAGTCGCTACAGAATATGAATTCAGCTGCCATTCAACATTCAGTACAAACTGTTCCCAGTAACAAGGATTTTGCTGGGGATTACAACTTTGATCTCAAAGTAGCATGTAGCAAACTTGGACAACAGAAACCTCAAGTTACTGTAAGTAATTCTTAAAAATGATCTATGGTATTGAACTTGTATTAAGGACAAGTGGTTACTAGTAGAATACGTATATCGACCCTTTTGTACATCATTAAATTATATGATATTTTGTTATTTTATCAAAAAAAAGTCTCTTAAAATAATAGTGTTTCTTAAAAATGTTTTTAGTACTCTCAAAAACTGAATAAGGCTTTTATCAACATGGGACATACACTGCCAATAGATTTTTTCTGGAACCCTATGATCCCTGGATTGTTTGTAAGAGCAACAATGCTGTATTCTAGCCCTCATGATGCTCCGAATCTGGTTATGAGATGTAAAAATCATAAGACTATGAAATCAAGTGATAGTGAGTATTATTTAATATTCATTTTGATTTTATAAATTATAATTATATATTTTATTTATATTAATTTTATTTATATATTTTATTTATATTAATTTTAATTATATATTATAATTAGTAGTTAATTTTGATGTTGTGATACATCCCAAAAAAGGCAAAGATTTATAAATTAATACTTAATTCCAAAAAGTTTTGATATACAATTTAATATCATAATTGAAATTATATATATTAATAAATCGTTATTTCAGATTTAGATGATTTCAATAATTCTGATCATGTTTTGTTGTGCAAGTCAGTGGGAGCTCAGTACTTTGGTTCAGTTGATTCTAATACACATTTGAATGTGACAGTGCCGTTAGGCAATGTGCAGACAGGTGATTCTTCTGTGAGAGTATTATATGAATTTGCTTGCAAGCATTCTTGTGTCAGTGGCATGAATCGACGCAGTGTTGAGTGCGTTTTTACCTTAGAGAATTTGGAGTAAGTATTTTCTTAATTGAAAAATTTATTTTTACAAACTGAAATTGAATTCTTTTCTAAAATAATATTTATGACAATATGTAAGGTATTGTCTTAGATAAGAGAAGAGTGTCTATAGTAATTAATACTCCACTTATTCTTGTGAATAAACAAAATGATAATATTTTGGTTACATTATCTTGGTTTCTAACAATAACTATAGCCAAATAATTATTCAATATATGTATGTATATTTTCACTGTTAAGTTTAATTACTATATTGTTATAAATATTTTCTCATTAAAATTTGTTTCCTTATTAATAATTATTTTTATATGTAAAAGTGGGATGATTACAATGTCACATATATCTGAAAATAATATGTGATAGTTGTACTTCTAAAATAATAAAGAATAATAAACATATTGTCAAGAAGTTGACATTCTGTTTATTAATGTTGTTATTGAATTATATGTTAATTAAAGTGAAAGGCTATAGAAATTTTAGACTTAGCTTGAATTTTTTTTATTATACAGTTATATATTTCAGTGACTTAAAATGATATGTATGAGTATAAGAATTTTTCTCTTTCTCTAGTGACAGAAGATAGTACTAAAAATCATGATATAATATTTTATATTTATTTTTTCAGTGGACAAATACTTGGTCGAAGGAAAATTGGCATCAGAGTATGTAGTTGCCCAAAACGAGATATGAACAAAGAGGAGGAACATGATAACAAACCAAGTGGAAAACGAAAAATTAAGCAATGTTCTGATGAAGAACCTCTGCCAATTGAAATTGCCAAAAAGAGTAAAGACTCTGGGCCGTTGGACGCAACATACTATGATCTTCCACCTGTGAGTCTTTATTGTATTAATGTTTTTATATACTCTTATAATTTTTATAATATTGGTTAACTACTGTGGAAACATCCCTTTTCTACATAAATATTATTTCAATTTAATTGAAGATCAATTTGAAACTATATTTCATGTTACGGTGAAATTTTGTAAACTATTATTTATGACTTATTACTTTTAATATTTACTTGTAATATAAGTAAAACAAAAGTTTTTAACAACATTGATTGAACACCGAATTGATTATAGTGGCATAATCTTTTCTGCAAATTGTTTTAGCATTTTGTAGAATGTTTCTAAATATTTTAAAAAAATTTTTAGGTCATGGGTAAAAAGAATTATGCAACGACAGTGCAATTAATATTTGGTATTTTAAGTGGTGCAATGGTTCGTTCTTCGCCCGAAGATCAACTAAAACTGCAGCCTTGTGTTGCGGAATATGAAAGACTGGTGAATGAACTTGAAAGTAAGTGTAGAAATTTTAAACATTTTTAATAATGAATTTATTATATGCATTTATTTATTTATTTACAGAAAAAACATGAACCAAGGATGAATGTTTTGGTTTAAACATGTTCACCAATTTATATTTCTATGACCCAGTTATATTAGTATGTATAGTTGTATTTCGATAATTTTAGTTATATTACATATAATAATTATATGTAACTGCAAGCAAATGAATTTAAAAATCATAGTTTTAATTTACAGGTTTTGTCATAGATATTTTATATTAATTAATTTGGAACTGCAGGTCATTGATATTTTCAAAACTCAGACTATAACATGTTTTTTGTAATACTTTGCATTACTTAAAATATGATAGTCATTTTTAAAACTTAATAAAAATTAGACTATAAGATAAATTAAAAAAAGAAATTCTGTGCTGTGACAAAACTATGTATGTTTAGTGGATAATGTGCCTAAAATTAAAAATATTAATTGAATGTTTTTTATATGAAATATTATTAGTTATTTGGTGCAATACTAGCACGAAGGAAATAGGTGATGGTTTATATAACATTAAATGTAGAATAAGTTATACCTAATTCTAAGAAAGATATATGTTAATTAAAAAAAAATTGATTCAATTTAATTGTGTCACATTCTTTAGATTTCAGGATGAAAAATATATTTAGTAATTATAAATATTAACTGCTTGATCGAAAATTCAAAACGTTTCGTTGGAATTGTTACTTCACAATATCAAACTATAAGCTATCAATGACAAACTATAGGATTTTAACCTATATGACTATAATGACGCCAATTAGAAAGGCTGTTGCAAGAGGAGCATGCAGTTGTTTTCATACAATAATATTTTTTAGAACAAACCAAAAAAGTTGAATTAGAACCCATAGAATGAATACATAAATTATTATTATGTATATTTTTACGCAATAATGATATTTTGTAGCTGATTAAATAAATTATAATATTAAAAACGGAGGTAAGGGGCTCAAAGTATGAAATCGTTGCAAATCACTTTTTTAGACGCTTATTGATATACTACATAACTGCAATTATGAAGCAAAAAACTCTTTGTTTTGCAAAGCAACCAGTTTGTAATTACATAGTTATATTACAACTTCAATGGAAACAATAATCAACCATATTTAATGCATATGCTTTAAGAGTATATTTTTAACTTCCCGTAGGGTAAGTTATAGTAATGGGCCAAAAATGAAAATTTTTGCATATCTTTACGTTTTGAAGGTTTCTGAACATTTTGGCATACCTCAGAAAAAATGGATGTGTGTGTTTTGTGTGTCCCCATTTTTTCGTTCACGTTTTTGGGCGCACGGATCAACCGATTTAAATGGTTCGATTCCTATTGATAGGGAGATGTGCTGATTAGTTTTTGGCAAAGGTAGGTTCAGCCGTTACGGAGATACGAAACAAAGAGTGCAGAAAATAGAAATCGAGTATTTGAGAGAACGGAGTATCCAATTTGAATGATCCAAAAAAAAACATTCAATTTGTAATGATCGGGAGAAGTGATGATTAGTTTTTGGAAAAAGCTGGTCCAGTCATTTCGAAGATACAGATCTAAATGTACAAAACATGATTTATAATATTCTGTTTGAAAACATTTAATATTCCTCGAACAAATTTTGTTACGATACGAAAAGTTCCAGCAATTTGCCTTAAGGCACGATGCCATACACCACTAGTTTTTTTTAATTTCCAAAAAAAACTTTGGAATTTGAATATTGAAATAAATTCATCAAATATTTTATTACAGCACGGAAAGTTCCTGCAATTTGCCTTAAGGCACGATTCATTCATACCATTAGTTCAGGTCATTATTATGAATTCAATAAATTTTTATATTGTCTAGGGCAGAGGTAGGCAACGGCCATGGCGCCCCCGATCGACTTTAGATGCGCCCTCGATTAATGTAAATGTATGATAACCTTAGCATAAATCAATTTCACATTTTCCAAATATAAGGCATATTGTTGAAAGTCTAAAAATTAATATAAAAAATTTTACAACTACATCATATTTAGAAGTTATAGACAAATTGGCAGAAGAGTTTTGTTCAAGATTTCAAGATTTCGCGCACTAAAACTTGTTCTAGGTTTTTTTATAAACCCATTTAAAGTTGCCGAAGATGATCATCTTATGCAAAGTGTTTCAGTGTATTTCGAAATTAGTAATATCGAAGATGTGGAGTTGGAAATAATAAACTTGCAAAATGATATTATTGTAAAAGCACATAGTAATGATAAAATGTTTTGGAAGTCGATGAAAATCCTATTTTAAGGAAATGTGCGCTAACAATTTACTCCCTAGACAATATTAGAATACCTCGTGATTTATTCTTTGTGCAACAACATATAATTGCGAGTCTTTGTTTTCAAATATGAAATATTTGAAATCAAAATACCGAACAAAGTTAAATGGCACATATTAGGTTGTCAAATATCTCCCTTCCGCCTTTTTGTATTATAAACTAAGAGCAAAAAAGCAAAAGGGAGATATTTGACAACCTAATATTTAAATAACTGTTTGCGGACAGGGAGCTCTAATTATATTCCCGATTATAAAAAAATAGCTGAAAATACGGACACACAAGTTCCACACTAAATTATATGTATATAATTAAGTATTATTGAATCATACTCTTCTTTTATCGATGTACTGAATGTTCGTAATGTATATATATTATATTATACTAAGAGAATAAAGTTATAAAAAATCAAAACAGGTTGCCGACCCCTGGTCTAGGGTTCAGGTTTTCTTTGGCTGTATTACGTATACAAACCGTATCTAGAATTAAGGGTTTGTTAACATGCTGTACATGTGCTGCCACCTCAAACCTTCAAATTATAATGAAGTAACGCCAGAAGTATTTTGTACTAGTTTGTTTGTGATCGTTTGCGGTTCTAAATCTCGCTAATATTCTGTTTATGGATACTGCTGGCCCTCACATTTGACATTTGGAACGGTAAGATGCAAATGTTTTCTTTTGTTTTTTGTTATTTTTTAATGTGATAGAATTAAATCGGTTTGTCAGAATATTATGAAACAAAAATATAAGTTTTGTAGAAGTTATTGTGAAGCATGTATTAAAGTAAAATTGCCATAAGAAAAAAATCCTAAATTTGCATATTGAATTGAAACATGTTGAATGCCCGCACAGCTTTATACGTGTCTTTAACGGCGATAATAATTTTTTACATCACGACATTTCGAGAAACTTATGGAATAATTAAATATGTGAAAACCAAATTTCTAACTAATAACAATCAAGAGGCGTCGGAAGATGTTTTACTACTTTCTGAACATGAATTATTAAGATATGACGGTGACAGCGGTTCGAAAGGTTTATACCTTTCGATTTTAGGGCTCGTGTTCGATGTTGAAAAAGGTAGGAAACACTATGGACCTGGTGGCAGTTACCACGTATTTGCCGGGCGAGATGTTTCGAAATCCTTTATAACAGGAGAGTTTGAAAGCGACCAAATTGACAATGATGTCCTGACATTAGATGACAAAGAAATCATAAGTCTTAAACAATGGTTAGCTTTCTATTTTAAAGAATACAAATATGTGGGAAAATTGATTGGCCAGTTTTATGATAGTAATGGACACAAAACAGATTATTTAAAGCGGTTTGAAGATAAGATCATTCAGGCAGAGCGGAATGAGAAGGAGAATAAAAAGATTCTAAATCAGTATCCTGCATGCAATATAGAGTGGGCTGAAGGAGTCGGCACAAAGTACTGGTGTACAAATAGAAGTGGTGGTCAGCTTCGGGATTGGGTTGGTTTTCCTAGACAAATTTTTGACCCTAACTCCAATACTGAACGATGTGTTTGCGTTCAAAACCCTTCCGATACTGCGAATCAGTATAAACCATATGCTAATTGTGATACTTCATCAGAATTTTGTTTTTTAAACAATTAAAATTTGGATGTATGAATGAATAAGATTTTTGTATCGTGTTATTGATATTAATTTAAAATTTATGTTCATTATAGCACAACTTATTTTAGCTCATCCATAAATAAAATAGTTTGAAACCATTTTTTTTTTCAATATTCATTTTTATAAGAATCATCTCAACAAAAAAATCATAGCTTTTTCACTTAAAATATTATAAGTATCAATCATTTTTTTATATTATATTTAATTTAATATATCTGTGTTGACTATTTATTAAGACTCAAGAAATCCGTTTAAAAAGTAATTTTTTTTTCATGATGAATGATGATGGTGAGAATGTTAAATAAGACAACAGAAGTATTTATTACATAATTTATTTATCACATTATATTAAGTTTAAAATCTACTATATATTTTTATACTGAATAAAATTATTTATTGAATTTTAGACTTTGTTTATATATAATATTCAACTCCAATATTAACATAAATCTGTTTAGTATTTATTCACATTATAGAACTTTAACTGACTTCAATAGTCGAATTAGATAATTCTATAGATATCATGTTTATTGTAGAATCTATTTTATAACAATATTTAGATGAAAGTATATCATTCCAACATGTTGTTAAAGAAATTGCTTTTCCTGTAAATACCTTCTTGTTTACAAAAAGCTTGACACCAAAGTTATTATTGTCGTTACATCCCAAAATCCACAGCCATATATAATGTTGAGTGGTGTTTGCTTTTACATATCCAATGAAAAATATATCATTATTTTCGTTAATTAATGATATTATATATGGATTTTTGGATAATTTTAAATTAATTTCACGTTTTATATTAGGCATTATAAAATACTGTAAGATTGGTTCTTCATGTTCTGTTTGTAAATGGGACATCAGACAATCCTTTTTAAATCTAGTCATACAATGCGAACTTTTTGGGCAGTTGAAAAGCTTTGTTTTAAGTGTATCATCATTTTTACACTCAAGCTCGTTTACGGGCGTCATTATGAATGGTTTTTTGAACAATTTTGTTCCTGTGGGATATGTTATTAATTTTGACAACGTGTTTTTAGGATTATCGCGATTACAAAACGGCGATAGCCTCGAGTTCAGCAGGACTCCGCGAAACGTTTTATTTTCTTCTGGTTTTACGCTATCGACTGAAAAGTAAATATTTTAACATTAATATACTCCCTATTAAATTTAAAAATATACAAATTACGTAGTCCCAAATGAGCGCGATTGTATTCAATTTTGAAAAAACGCTGTAACTGGAAGTATTTTACAGCATGCATTTTATATGATCTTATCTTTAATTTGACTTTTGTCAAATGTGTTTAAATAA